GTCCGGGCGCCGTCGGGGCGGCCTCTGCGGCGCGGGCGCTGCGGGCCTGGGGCGCGGGCTGCGAGGGGCCGCGGGAGCCGTCGCAGGGGCAGGAGCCCGACGAGTCCGAGGAGGAGGCAGGGGACGTGGAGTCCGGGTGGCCGGCCCAGCCCCAACCCTGGGGGAAGATCCAGTGGTCTTGGCCCAGGAGGCTGTGCAGAGGAGGGGACTGGGCCATGGCCGCGGCTGCTGCGGGCTCTGGGAGGCTGGGCCGGCCACCTCCAGGCCTGAGCTTTTATCCGGACCAAAGGTGAGAGGTGCCCCCCTGCCAGGTTGCAGAGAGGTGTCAAAACCCACAGAGCCCAGGGAAGGCCTGGGCAGGGGGGGGCCTTGGGAAAGCGGGCCCATTTGCGGAGGTGTGGATTCTGACTCCTCGGGGGCTCTAATGGAGGCCCCTGCAGCCCGGGAAGTGTGGGAGGGACAATTCGCATCTGGATGGAGCTGCTAAGCTTCTTACCGAGTTCCCACCCACCCGGGCTCGTGGCGCGGTGAGTGCCCAGGGGCCCGACAGTGGTGGGCAGTGCCATCGTCTGGGGGCGGCCGGGCTGCCTGCCCCTCGTGTGAAGAGCGGACCCGGGCGCCTGTCTCATCACCAGCCCCGTGGCAGGGCGGGGGGCCTTAGCCCAGTAACTCCCCACTGGCCCAGAGGGATTTGCCCATAGTATGTGGGGTGGGGTGCAAATAGGGGGTCATACAGGTGGATCCTTCCTGGGTTGCCCCCCCCCCCCACCCCCGGAACCTGCACTTGCCGGTTTGCCGAATGACATGAAGAAAGTCATCTCACTGTCCACAGATAGTTTCTGTCCCCGAAAAATCAAACAGAGCAGCCTGAGATGAGAAGAGGAATCGGGTGCAGTGGGTGAGGAACATGGAGGGAGGTGGGCCCCCAGGCAGGCCTGAGGCTATTTGCTGTGTGACCTGGGGCAAGTCCCTGAACTCCTCGGAGGCTCAAGCTTCCTCAGTCTCCTAGCAGTAATAATCCCATATACCCACCGCCTACGATGGCTGCCGGTACTTAGTGGAACCGTCTGTGGAACCACTTAGTATAGGCCTGGAAAGTGGGCTGAATGTTTGTTGCTATCATTTTATAGGCAAGGTACTTCCATTTCAAGATGCTGGAGGCGTTGCTCATTTAATTCATATTTTTGTTAGCCACTAGTAAATGTCAGGCACACCAGGGTGAACAGGCTAGTTGAGTCTCTGCTCTCGTGACATTTCAGCCTTGTGGGAGAGACAGGTGAACAGGCCATTATACATTGAGTAGGTCCACCATTAACTAGCTGTGTGCCCTTGGGCAGGGCTCTTAACTTGAGCTTCAGCGTCTGTTCCATTAAACAGGAATAATGTCGTTAGAGTATCTACTCAGAGGACTGTTGTAGTCTCTGAGGATAAACGCCGAGACTCCCAAGAGTAAAGCTCTCTCTCCTCAGCAGTGATTACAGTTTAAAGGAGGCATCAGTGTCCTTTGTGATCTGCGGAGAAAGGGCTGAACTCAGAGGCTAAGGGCCACATGAGGGGCAGGGATGGTAGGGCTCTGGCCACAGAGCTGGAGAGGTCACAGCTGGGCCCTGAACCATGAGTAGGACTTGGGTAAAGAGAGAGACAGGTAGGGGGCATTCTGGCCGTGGGAACTGCATAAGCAAAACCTGGCAGTGGGACTTGCCAAGGTGCTTCTGGAAAATTCTGGAGCAGTGTGCAAGCAGGCCGGTGTGGAGAGCTCGAGCACACCGTGGCTGGGGCCGGGCTAAGAAATTGGGGAGCCAAATGGACTTTGTAGCAGAACTATGACATGAAAAAAAAATCGGTAATTGATAACTCAAGGTCAGCATGATGAAGTTTCTGGAATAGATTGGCTTGGACCAGCTGGAAGTAGTAAACGGCCTTGTACTATTTGTGGCTGTTCCTAAAAGTAAATATTTAGTTACACAAATTACATAACTAATACATTCTCTTTGTGAGCAACGGGGCTTTGCAGATAAAGCTGGAGTCCCTATTACTCCTCACTAGAGGCAGCGGCTGTTAAGGCGTCTGGTGCCTTTCCAGTCCCGGCCCAGGCATTCACACTGACATATATAAACAAGGTATCGTTGGAGCAGGTTTTCTGTAACTTGCTTTCTATCATTCAACAGCGTGTCTTAGAGCAATGCCTGTCAGGATATTGTAGCTGATGCATAGACTGTCATAGTTTGATTTAAATGGGTGAATATTTAAACATCCTACAGGGGTGCCTGGGTGTCCCACTTTGGCTCAGGTCGTGGTCTCGCGGTCTGGTCGGTGAGTTCGAGCCCCACGTCAGGCTCTGTTTTGACAGCTCAGAGCCTGGAGCCTGGTTTGGATTCTGTGTCTCCCTCTCTCTCTGCTCCTCCCCCGCTCGTGCTCTGTCTCTCTCTGTCTCTCAGAAATGAATAAATGTTAAAAAAAATTTTTTTAATGTCATATGAACATTAGAGTGGATAATTTTAACTGGGGAAAAATGTAAAATGGCAGGAGGTGCAGATAAACCTTCAATGATGACATTTCATTACTTTCTGCTCAGAACTTACTGTTTTTTTAATATGAGAGAAAACGGGGGCGCCTGGGAGGCTCAGTCAGTTAAGCATCCAACTTTGGCTCAGGTCATGATCTCATGGTTCATGGGTCCGAGCCCTACCTCGGGCTCTGTGCTCACAGCCCAGAGCTTGGAGCCTGCTTTGGATTCTGTGTCTCCCTGTCTCTCTGCCCCTGCCCTTCATGTTCTCACGTTCTCTCTCTCTCTCTCAAAAATAAACATGAAATATTAGGGAAAATAGGCCGAAATTGCCACTCTATGCAACATGATGATGAAATAGTAATTGGCGTTGAATAACGTTGGTCAAGGCAACTCTTGTTTCGTTTATTCCAGCTGCTGTGAAGGAGGAAAGGAAAATTTTAATTCATCCATAGCACAGGAGGAAGCTGAACCACTTAACAGTGGCTTTGAATCCACACGGGCTTTCTTTGGAAAGAAGCAGGCAGTTATGCAACATTTCATGACTCAAGAGGATTTAAACCAAAGTAAAAAAAAAAAAAAAATGATAATACTTTTTCCTAAGGGCAGCGGGGACTTAGAAAACAGCCAGTTCTACACTTTCTAGGTCGAAATAATGGCAAATCATTTAGAATAAGTCGTTGTTCGTCCAAGCCTGCACGGTACTAAAAAAGGCTTGTCATAGTGTACTATCAGGGAATTGATATGCATGTGGTTGACGGTTGTAAACAAAATTCATATGGTTTCATGTATGTTTCTTGATCCAGACTCTGAAGTTTTTCAGGTTAATGTGCTGTTGATACTGAGCTTTCTGACTCACTCCTTTTAACATTTCTATAATATTCCATGGCATGTGTGCACCAGCCAGACCCTTATTGATGCATCTTTAGTGTGTTTTTATTTTTTTTAATTTTTATATTTATTTATTTGAGAGACCAGGCAGAGAGAGAGAGAGAGAGAGAGAGAGAATCCCTAGCAGGCTCCACACCATCAGCGTAGAGCCCTGTGCGGGCTTAAACTCACAAGCTGTGAAATCATAACCTGAGCTGAAATCAAGAGTCTGATGCTTAACCGACTGAGCCACCCAGGTACCCCTTTAGTTAAGTGTTTTTAGTTTTTGCCAAACAGCACTGCCCTTTTGCTCAGGCAGGTAGATGTGGAGAGGTGGATTAGCCTTGTGAGCTCCTGGAAGGTTCTGGATATCCAGAGTCCTCCTCCCCCCTCCCACCCCCTTAGAGCCAGCCCGGGGGCATTTCCTATGAAAGGATTTGGTGAATAATGAGAATCCACCGCCAGCACAGAGCCCTGCTTACTATCCTTTCCTCTGTAGGATAGCCTGGCCTCCTGTCTTGGTTTGAGCTAGCCCCAGAGCCCCAGGCTTCAGACTGACTGGGATGTCAGAGCATAAGTTCTAGAAGATGGGGCCCTGGCTCTTCACCAGGCCCCTCAGCCAGGCTCTGGAAGCACAGGGACACACTGTGTGCCAGCCCCACTCCCAGGGGGGGAAGCCAAAGTGGATCCCCACCACCCCCTGCACTGGTTCTCCACCTAAGCACAGGGAGGCAATGTAGCCTAATAGTTAGGATGCCAGGCTGTGGAATCAGACTGACCTGGCTTAGAGTCCCAGCTTCACCCCTTATAAGCCGGGAGAACTTGGGTGATTTACTCAGCCTCAGTTTTCTCATCTGTGAAGTGGGGATTCTGATCTCCAGAGCGATTGTTGAGATAAATAAACATAATGCGTGTCATAGAGCTTATCACAGAGCCTACGTTTATAAATCTTGCTTATAGCAAGTTCAGGGGCAACAGAAGGAAGTAGGCAAAGGACTAGGTCGGGGTGTGGGTAAGGATATCTTTTAGTCTTAGCTCTAGAAGAAGGTGATTCCTTCCATTCCTGAGACTCTCTCTTGCACCAGACCCAGTGCACCCCACCCCGTCCCCCTCCTCCCTCTCCAGCCCTTCTCTGTGGACCTAGTGTGGGGGTCATCCTCAGCAGGGCACTCCAGCTCCTGGCCTGTGGCAGGGGTCACCACAGCTGCAGTACAGAGGGAACGGGAGAGCTCGGATGCCTGGAGCTGGAGCCAACCAGCCCCGCTAAAGCTAGGAACGGAGCATCTGAACCTGTTCCTCCTGGTGGCTGGGTCCTGGCCCCGGTGCCTGTCCAGCTTGCCTCTGGGACCCTCGAGCATCCCCGCTCTGTGCAGGAACCTGCCCCAGGTGCTCGGCGAACAAGCTGGGTCTGGGCCGTGCCCCACGGCGTCCTCCAATTGAGCCAGCTCTGTTTCTGTCTTCCTCATCTGACTCTCATGTTAAAAGGAGGGACGTCTAAAGCTGTACGCTCTTAGATAAGGCGATTACCTTCTGGGCCTCAGTGGGCTACTGGCCCCGGGTTCAGCCCCTCCTGATAGGAGGAGGTGGCGGCTAGATCAGGGAAACATGGTCAGTAGTGTTCCCTAGTATTGCAGACACTTCTAGTTGTACACACAATGTCTGTTACAGCCTCTATTCTTATATCTTTTTAAAAATGTTTGGGGCGCCTGGGTGGCTCAGTCGGTTAAGCGGCCGACTTCGGCTCAGGTCACGATCTTGCGGTCGTTGAGTTCGAGCCCCGCGTCGGGCTCTGTGCTGACAGCTCAGAGCCTGGAGCCTGTTTCAGATTCTGTGTCTCCCTCTCTCTGACCCTCCCCCATTCATGCTCTGTCTCAAGAATAAATAAACATTAAAAAAAAATTTTTTTTTTAATA